TAATTATAGTTCCTTTTCCTTCCTTTGAGGTAATAGTTGCTTTTTAAAAACATATTTTATTTGGGGGGATTTTCATTCCATACTGTGATTATAGTCTTAAGTAATTATTTTTTCTTTCATTTATCAACAATTAATTCAACTTCATTATGTATTTTATTGACTTATTTGTTTACTGCAATTTCCTGTATGATATATCATCTTTTATTTAAATTAATTTTAAAGATTTTGCTATAGTACATTCTTTTTTTTTTTTGAGACAGAGTCTCACTCTGTTCCCAGGCTAGAATGCCATGGCATTAGCCTAGCTCACAGCAACCTCAACCTCAGACTCCTGGGCTCAGACAATCCTTGTGCCTCAGCCTCCCGAATAGCTGGGACTACAGGCATGTACCACCATGTCTGGCTAATTTTTCTATATATATTATTTAGTGTCCAGCTATTCTTTCTATTTATAGTGTGACGTTCATCTTGCGCAGCTGGTTTTGAACTCCTGACCTTGAGCGATCTGCCTGCCTCAGCCTCCAAGAGTGCTAGGATTACAGGTGTGAGCCACCGCTACCGGCCTATAGTACATTCTTGAGTAATTGTTTCAGTAATCGAATCCTTTCTTGTCTAAAAAAGTATCTATTTTTTCCTCTCATTGAAATGGTTAATTGGCTGGGTAGAGAATTCTAATTTCATACTTTTCCTCCAAAATTTGAAGATACTGCTCTAATATTTCGATACAAAGTTCCATATCAATGTAATTCTTACTTATTTGTACATAATCTGGCTTTAGGTGTGATGCTTTTAGAATTTTCTTGGGATTTTTTTTCCCCCTAAAGTCCTGAGGTTTTATAAGGGTATGTTTAGTTGTAGGTTTTTTTCTCATACCATTTTTAGCATTCACTGGGCTCTGAATCTTGATTTCTGGGAAACATTTTTTTCTGTTATGTGTTTGACCATTGTCTCTTGCTTCATTCTATCTTCACTATCCTCATGGAACTCCCCAAGATGGGCTTTTTTCTTTATCTTTCCATTTGTCTATCCTTTTAATATGCATTCCAGGAATCCCTCAGTCTTCTGTCGTACCATGTTTCCATTTTGCTCTTCAACCCTCTAGATCAGGGGTCCTCAAGCTTTTTAAACAGGGGGCCAGTTCACTGTCCCTCAGACCGTTGGAGAGTGCGCACTGTGGGCCCAGGACAAGTTGGCTGCTAAGCAGGACAGGTAGCGGCAGCAAAAACACCCAGCAGGCTAGATAAATGTCCTTGGCAGGCCGCATGTGCTCTACGCACCATAGTTTGAGGACCCCTGCTCTAGATTGTAGGCCTTACAAAGATAGCCTGACACTTAGCTATGAGACAAGTTACTTTAACCTCTTTCAACTTTGGTTTCCTCATGTGCAAAATGGGTGTCCTAATAGTTCCTCTCACATAAGATTTCACAATCCTTGGCTGAGAGCTTCAATCAAACACAGTAGGTATTTCTTAGTATTATCATCTTCTTTAATACATTTTACTAATTTAGAATTATGGTTCTTTTTTGTAGCAACAGGTCTATGTTTTATAATTAGATTGTGTTTAAATGTGACACTTTCTATGATTTCTGTGAGATTTTAATTATGTACCTTTTAAATTGTTTCCTCTGATCACTGTTTCTCATTTGTGCTTCTTTTATTAACTTGCTACTTTTTTTTTGTTCTCCTTATATATTTTTTAACTGTCTCCTTATATGTTTTTTGAAAAGTCTTATGTTTCTCTGTATGATACTGGAGTGTGCATCCTCGGCAGATGTTCGACCTACTTTGGGGCACATATGTGTTCTACTTTAGGGGATGCCTCTGCCAGTTGGGTGGGGGGGGGAGATAAGAATCCAGATGGTAGATGGTGTAGGCCATTTTTTAAGGCTGCCTCTTCATGCTAGAAAGTTCTCTGGGGCACACCCTGCTTCTTCAGCCCCAGCTCTGGACTACCTGCCTTGTCAGAGCTCCCTCTTCAGAGGTTACCTTGAGGCTTTTTCCTGGGCACATAGGGAGTCAATTGCTCTTTTTTGTACCTTAGTCGACTTTGTCATTGTGTAGATTCAGTGTTAACGCAGCCTCTGCTTCTTTCTTCAGCCTCAATACTAATACTACTATTAGCAATCTTTCTTTGGCAGATCATTTGTTTGATTCTTGAGGCTTTATATGGGGCCACTGCTATTATCTACCCAATATTTCTATTTTTGAAGGGAAAAGGGGCATTAGGAGAGGTGCTGCTAATGGCAACAACTAGCCCAGCCATTAAGAATGCCTAACTTGAATTAATGAATCTGTCTTTGTTACTGTTGATTCTGAGGTTGGAATTAGAATTTCTAGGAGTTGCTGAGAAGATCTCTTAGCCCTGAGGGAGGCTTCTCCTGTACAAGATTTGAACTGTGCATTTTTTCCCTGGTTTCTCCATCTTTCCCAATCCATCTGCTCTTTATCATCTAGGAGTTCCTCAACATTTTTATTCTGGTGACATCAACCTTTCTTTTTTTTCCAAGACTACTATGGATTTCTTTTTGTCATTTCAGTGTAATATTTGGATGTTCACTGTAACTGTTTTGACCAACATATATTCCAGTAAGTCTAAACTACTCTGTATTCCTAGCACAGTTCTCTCAAGAGTTCCAAAGCCCTACATGTCACTGCTCGCTCAGCAGGGCTGCAAGTGTTCCAGCAGCACAGATCAAACAAGGCAGATTTTGAGTTTGTCATCCACTCCCTTCCCCACTCCAGCCTTGCCCTCCTGCATTTCCTGTCTTATTGTACAGCACCACTGTACCTAGTCGCTCAGGCAAGGAGCTCAGGGAGCATGCATGGTGCCTCCTTTCCCTTGCCTTCTAGGTTTAGTTTGTCATCACCTAATTTGAATGAATCTCTCCCCTTTTCTCTACAACCATCATCCTTACCATTTTTCTTCTGGTTTGCTATAGCAGCTGTCCTCTACCTAAAGCCTTGCTTTCCAGTGGTGTTTATAATCACAAAGTCAGTTACTTCACTACGAATTTAAATCCTTTAATAGTATTCACTCCCTGCAGAGATTAGCCCCAAGTCCTTAGGATTAGACACCAAGCCCTTTGCTTAGGCTCCTACCTTCCCTGCGGGGACACATTCTTTACCACTGTTAAGCTTTTTTTTTTTTTTATCTCCTTCACAAGAAGCTACTAGTAGTCTTCCTGAACATGTCATATTTTTCTCTCTACATTTCGCTTTTTTCCCCCATCATTTTCTCCCAGAAATCTTCCCAATACCCCAAAGTACAAGTTGTGTGCTCCAGTTCTGCGTTCTCATAACTGATTGTGCATGTATCTGTTGTATGTTCATCCACACAGCTTACTATTATTGTTGTTGGTATATCTTGTCTTTCTCCCAAGAGGCTTTATCTTGTTAAGCAAAAGGATTTCTATTTTCTTCCTTGTATTCACAATGCCTGTGACAGTGGAGGAGTACTAATTAAATATAAATTTAATTAAAAGAAAATGAAGGGAAATGAAATGGAATGTTATTTGTGGCAATGTATAGGATTCAGAGCCTTATGCAGGACTAGTGAAGGAATACTTCTATTGGCTATGCTTAAAAGCAGAGAAAAAATTTCTATCTTCTGTACCCAGATATTCTCTCCTTCTGACATTAACCCAAGGGAGAGGACTATAAGGACAAGTTGAACGTTTTCCCAGTTACTAAATGTTCAGGCCTTAGGCACTCCCATTCTGAAATCTTGAAATCTACCTTCTGTTCTTATCACTGAATACTCTTTGTTCCCTAGGAAACTTGAATGAAAATTTCGTGGAGCATCTTCAAGAGAAAAGACTTAAGGATCTGTCATATGAGCTTTCTTGCTGGCTAACTTTGGAAGAGATGGCCAGTACAATAACTGGAAGTCAGGATGGTGTTGTGCATCTTTAAGGGGAAGTGTATGGGAAGCCTGAACTAGATCTCCCCCCTTGTCAAAAGTGGGGAGAAGCATCTTCTCATATTTCCAGAAAAGGGCAGTGTGGCGACTCTTCAAAGTGATGATTTCAAAAACACTGGAAGTGAAAAATATTTGTCTTTGAAAGTCCCCAGCCAAATGGCCACACAAGAGTCATCAATAAAGGTCTATAAAGACAAGCATCAGGATGCTCGGGCAAGCACGTGTCTCTCTATAACTGAAGAAAGCACTGAGAGCAAGGTGACAAGCAGGGGAAGTTCTTCTGTGGACCGCTGTGCAGAGAACCTTCAAGTTAAACCCATGTCTGATGTAACAGAACTGGCCTCACCATTGTACAGTGGTGAAGGAACTTGCCAGAATGGCCAGTTGAAAGAATCTTTGGATACCTTTGACTGTAACTGCAAAGACATTTATGGGCAGAAATCACAGTTGGTCAGTTGTCAGCAGCGAGCTCCTAGAGAGGAGAAACCCGGTACCCGTAATGACCATGGGAAAGTACTTAATACCAGCCAAGGTGCTCATCCATTTGAGAAAGTCCACACTCCAGAGAAACTATACAGATGTGGCCATTGTGGTAAGGACTTCAGTCAAAGCTCAGAGCTGCTACTTCATCAGAGAGACCACGCAGAAGAAAAGCCCTACAAATGTGAAGAGTGTGGGAAGGGCTTCACCAGGAGCTCAAGTCTGCTAGTCCATCAAGCAGTCCACATGGATGAGAAACCCTATAAGTGTGACAAGTGTGGGAAGGGCTTCACCAGGAGCTCGAGTCTGCTCATTCATCATGCAGTCCATACAGGCGAGAAGCCTTATAAATGTGATAAATGTGGGAAGGGCTTTAGTCAGAGCTCCAAACTGCACATCCACCAGCGAGTGCACACTGGAGAGAAGCCTTATGAGTGTGGGGAGTGTGGTATGAGCTTCAGTCAACGCTCAAACCTGCACATCCACCAGCGCGTCCACACAGGGGAGAGGCCCTACAAGTGTGGTGAATGTGGGAAGGGCTTCAGTCAGAGCTCGAACCTCCACATTCACCGGTGCATCCACACAGGAGAGAAGCCTTACCAGTGCTATGAGTGTGGGAAGGGCTTCAGCCAGAGCTCAGATCTTCGCATCCATCTCAGAGTCCACACTGGAGAGAAGCCATATCACTGTGGCAAATGTGGGAAGGGATTCAGCCAGAGTTCCAAACTCCTCATCCACCAGAGGGTACATACTGGAGAGAAGCCCTATGAGTGCAGCAAGTGTGGAAAGGGCTTCAGCCAGAGCTCCAACCTGCACATCCACCAGCGGGTTCACAGGAAAGATCCCCATTAAGTGACATGAGCCACTCAGGTCTTCAGAGGGCTCGTACTGTTAAAACTGTCACATATTTTCAACATCACTCTTTATATTCTACAAAGGAGAGAGAAAATAAGGGTTATTGAGATATTTTCCCTCACTGAAAAATCATTCATTCATTTAAAGTATTTAAGTATCAAGCACTTTGTTATGCTATACAATGAATAACTTGTTCTGATTTCGTAGATGGGTAGAGTGAAAACATCTGTACTTTGCAATTCAGTGTTATTAGAACTACATATTCTACCCAGCATTTTTAATTGCCAGAACTTTGTATTTGTCAAACCATGGCATATTTCCCATTGTTCACATTCTCTTAGAAATTGAAACTTTGTTTTTTCTTCAAATTATGTGCCTGCGTTTTTTTGTATTTTTTTGTATTACCTTCCAGTCCTGATTAGCCCTTTCTAAACTACAATTATATTATATAATATGCCCATTTTAGGCTGAGGAGGTAGTTGGAGATACAATGAACATGGAAATCTCTTCTGTTTACTGTAAATATGTACAGTGGTTTGTGACCACACCACAAGAAGGTAGAAAGTTACTCATTACTCATGTAGTACACCCTCATGTACTGTTTTGACAGAAAGTAGAACAACTTCTTCCCTCCCGGGCAACTGTTCAGGAATGTAAGTAGTTTTTTCTTGAGTACATCTAGTTTACTGGGGGTACTTCCAGAGTGAAAGCAGGGGAAGGTCCAAAGCAATATGCCCCAAGTAGTTGACAGAGTGTGGCTGGCAGTGAAGGATGGCACCTGAGAGCAGGTGATACCAACAGATAGGTTCCAGACACAGAGCTTGGAAAAGCTAATACATAGGGAGCACATGTCAACTGATGAGCAAAGGCTGCAGAAATCACTGGGGCTTGGTAAACTATTAATAAAAATGGCTAGCAGAGAAAGTTCTAATTCTCTAATGAATGTGCTTTTGTTAAACATATCTGGATGTCCCTGAACAACATTAAAATGCTAGGAAAAAGTTTTTTTATAAAACCACAGCAATAGAGAATGGGAGAAGACCATCAGCAAGTGCGATCTCAACACAAATTTGAAAGACGGAAAGAAAATGGAAGGAGAGTTATTAGAGCATAAGCAGGCACAGATATGCTGCTTACACGTGGGGATGAGGAAAAGACAGAACCAGTTTGGCTCCAGGCTCAGACATGGTTAATATCCTGGAGGATGGGAGTGAGACTCAAAGAGAAAGCAGTGAAACTAATGGCCGTTTTATATGGAACATTCTTCCTTGTCCCATAAATACACATTTTCCCCCAACCCCTGTGCATGGCCAACCAGGGATTTTTCCTCCAGCTAGAGATGGGAAATTTCTTCTCTGCAGAAGTTGAATGGTCCCAAGGAAAGGACCTCTATATTCTGGCACTTGGGAATCCAATAGTAAAGCAGCTATCTTTCTAGCTGTGTATATACACATATATTAATAATATAGCTTCTAAACCCATGATATAAAAACTGATACAATTGAAATACATAGAGGTAAATTTTAAATTATAATTAGATATTTCAATAATCAAGTAATTGATAGCACAAGTAGACAAAAAGTACGGCTATATAGACTGGACATGTACTCTCAACAAACGACTAATTTGCATTTGTAGGACACTTCACTCAAGAGCATAATATACATTCTCTTCATGTGTACCTATTATGGATTATAAAATTAAGTCTTTAAAAATTTAAAAGAAGGCCGGGCGCTGTGGCTCACGCCTGTAATCCTAGCTCTTGGGAGGCCGAGGCGGGCGGATTGCTCAAGGTCAGGAGTTCAAAACCAGCCTGAGCAAGAGCGAGACCCCGTCTCTACTATAAATAGAAAGAAATTAATTGGCCAACTGATATATATATATAAAAATTAGCCGGGCATGGTGGCGCATGCCTGTAGTCCCAGCTACTCGGGAGGCTGAGGCAGAAGGATCACTCGAGCCCAGGAGTTTGAGGTTGCTGTGAGCTAGGCTGACGCCATGGCACTCACTCTAGCCTGGGCATCAAAGTGAGACTCTTCAAAAAAAAAAAAAAAAAAAAAAAAAAAAAAAAAAATTTAAAAGAGTGAAAACTATGCAAAGTATGTTATTGCCCCAGGACAGAATTAAGTTAGACATCAGTAAAAAAGATATCTGAAGAATCCTCAAATATTTGGAAACTAAACAACACACTTGTAAATGAGCAATAGGTTAAAAAGAAAGTAAGAAAATTTTGAACTGAATGAATATTAGCAGAATTTGTGAGAATGCAGCTAAAGAAGTGCTTAGAAGGAAAATAATAACATAAAATACTTAAATTAGATAAAAAGAAAGAAATCAATAGTCTAAGCTCCAACCTTAAGAAACTAGAAAAAGAGCAGATTTAGCCCAAAGCAAGTGGAATAGGAGATGATAAATATAAGAACTAAAAACCATGAAATAGCAAATGGACAATAGAGAAAATTCAGTGGAACGAAAACCTTGCTTTTTGAAAAGATCGAAAGAATTGCCAGTATCAGGAATGAAAGAGGAAGCATACTACAGATTCTATAGGTGGTAAAAGTATAACAAGCAATTTTATTAACAATTTTATGGCAATAAATTCAACAACTTCGATGGAATGAAAGAACGCTAAATTGGCATATTAACGTATTAGAGGCTCACCTTCATGGCAGATCAAGCAACCATAGAAGCACACACATCCAGGCTTGTAGGTAAGAGCTGCGATCTGTCTTGTTCTTACCCACACTTTAAGGAGTAATAGGGTCCAAGTAACCCTCGGGAGTGGCAAGACCCTTCCTAAAGATCAGGGCATTAGTATTCCCCATCCAGGGGACCAGAGACCAACACAGGCATCAGATTACCTTGTAACTGGCTCCTCCAGGCAATCTGCAACCAATGACAGAGATGGTAGCCCCATAGCTTAACACAGTGCCCTCCATCTCAAGCTATTGGAGTTATACACAGGTACAATTCACCACATGGGAGCTTAAGCTGGGGGATCAAACTCACTAATCTCTACTGGCAAGAGATGAAAACAATAGTTCATAGGTCACTCAAATTGATAAAATACCTCAAAGGCAATACAAGACCAGCACACCTCTTCCCACCACTGTCAAGGAACATCCTTGGGGGCTTGAAGTAGAGGCACAAACCAGGCCTAGCACTCTCAGTTCTCAACTACCCTGATGAGAAAGAACCAGCGAAAGAATGCAGGAAATATGAAAGATTAGAGAGAAAAGTCACTCCCAAAAGAAATCATTAGACCCTCAAAAATAGACACTAATTTAAGTGAAATGATTAAAATGACAAAGGAAGAATTCTGAATATGGATTATAAGGAAACTCAGTGTAATTGAAGAGAAAATGGAAACAATACAGGCCACAAGAATAATACAGGAAATAAATAAAAAATTCTCTAAAGAAATTGAAATATTATGAAAGAACAAACAGAAATCCTGGAAATGAAAGAGGCATTCAAGGAACTTCAAAACACAGTGGAAAGCCTTAAAAATAGAATGGATCACACAGGAAAGAATCTCCGAGCTTGAAGATAGTGTCTGTGTGCTAAACAAATCAGATGGAACAAAGAACACAGAAGCAAGAGACAAGAACAAAACATAAAAGAAATGTGGAGTTGTGTAAGGAAACAAAATAAAAGAATTATAGGCAGCCTAGAGAGAGAAGAAGAAAATATACAAGGGCTGGATAAATCTATTTCTTGGAATACTAAAGGAAAATATGCCTGGCCTAGCCAGAAACCTAGATATCCAGATATAAGAAGTACACAGAAGTCTTGGGAGACTCAATGTGAAAAAGCAATCACCACGTCACATAATTATTAGAGTAGCCAAAGTAAACATGAAAGAGGCAATCCTTGAAGCAGTAAGGTGAAAACAGCAAATAACCTATAAAGGAAAACCTATCAGACTAACTGCAGACTTCTCAACTGAAACCCTCCAAGCTAGAAGGGACTGGGGACCCATCCTCAATCTTCTAAAACATAATAATGGCCAACCTAGAATCCTTTATCTGGCAAAACTAACCTTCATCTATGAGGGAGAACTAAAGTCTGTCCAAGCAATCACTGATGGAATTTGCAAAGACCAAACCTGCCCTGCAGGAAGTACTCAGACCTGCATTGTACACTGAACAGTGCAATAGACACTGACCAAAATAAAATTACTCAGGAGTTAAAAACTAGAACCCAGATTCCACAATGGCTTGAAAGGTAAAACAAAACAATAAGAATTTACCCAAAAATATGAACAGAAATCTACCCCAAATATCAATCTTCTCAATAAAAGTGAATGGTTTGTCCAGATGCAGTGGCTCACACCTGTAATCCTACCACTCTGGGAGGCCAAGGGGGAAGAATAGTTTGAGCTCAGGAGTTTGAGACCAGCCTGAGTAATAGCAAGACCCCATCTCTACTATAAATAGAAAGAAATTAGCTGAGCATGGTGGCGCATGCCAGGAGTCCCAGCTGCTTGGGAGGCTGAGACAGAAGGATTGCTTGAGCCTGGAAGTCTGAGGTTGCTGTGAGCTAGGCTGGTGCCACAGCACTCTAGCCCAGGCAACAGAGTGAGACTCTGTCTATAAATAAATAAGCAAACAAATGAACAAACAAATAAGAATGTCTCAAACTGTCCTCTGAAGAGACATAGACTGGCTGAGTGGATAAAAAATTATAAACCAAGTATCTGCTGTCTCCAGGAAATGCATTTAACCCACAAAGACGCTTTCAGACTCAAGGCTTGGAAAACAAAGTTCCAGGCAAATGGAAGCCAAAAGAGAGCAGGGTAACAATCTTGATTTGAGACACCATAAACTTTAAAATAGCAAAAGTA